TTTAGTGATTTAAGAATCAGAGGTTCTTAAATAGGGGGTTACTTCTCCCTTCAGGAGACCCTGGGCAGTGTCAGAGCATTTCTGACGGCCACAGCTCAGGTGCTCTGGTGGTATGCATGAGAGACCAGAGATTACTGCTGAACAAACCACAGCGCACAATCAAAGATGCCCACAGAGAGACTGGAGAGTGGCTCAGAGGTTAAGCTGCTGCTCTCACAGAAGACTGGGGTTCAGTTCTTAGCACCCACGTGGTGGCTCACAACTGTTAATAACTTCACTTCAGTTTATTTGGATCTGATGTCCTCCTCTGACCTCTGCAGACACTGTATACACTTACATTCCTGCAGACAAGCCACTCACACACATAAAATAAAAATATTTAAATCTTTAGGGAAATTCCCACAGTGCTGAGACTGGAAAGCTCGTTTCTGCTGGGGATGTGGTTCAGTTAGCAGGATGTTTGCCTAGTTTACAAAAGCCCCTCGATTCTAGCATCAGCTCTATATGAACAGGTTTGGTGGCACACACCTATATATCACTGGGAAGGTGGGCACAGGAGGAGCAGAAGTTAAAAGTCATTCTTGGCTACGTAGAGAGTTCTAGGCTAGCCCAAGATACAGAAATCCTGTCTCAAAAATATTTTTTAACTAACAATGTATATAAGCCTAGTAGTACTAAACTATGTGTTTAGAGTTAACATGGAAGCTAACACTTAATGTGCCTTTCATTGCTGGGGACCAGTTTCAGCAGAGAAGTGGGTCTCGCATCTGGGATGTCTGGAAGGTGAAGTGAGTATAGAAACACAGGATTCTGATGCAAGCTGACAGGTTCTCAGCTGCAGGGCAGCTTCTTCTTCTACCCCGAGCTTCAAACCTCAGTCTTTTATTGTAAATTTTACACAAGGAAAATGATCCTTTTTTCTTGTCACAGGTTAATCATTACCTGGGCAAAGCAGTTCACAAGAAGTACAAAGATTCCTGAAATCAGAACATCATCATTCATTATGACATTTTCCAGGTCCCAAGCCCCATGCCAGCCACTACATTCTTAATTCTTAGTTGAGTTAATCATCCAACAACTTCTGAGGCTTTCACCTCAGAGGCTAACTACTTGCAGTTACAGAAGCATAAGTCAGTGGGTTTCACTCCATTGTCATACCTCTCCCATTGTTGGTCCTACAATTCCAGTTTTGATTTATAAGGCCACAGGCAGTCAGCCCTAAAAGCTCTAGATTCCTCAGAAACTTCATTCATCATAGCCAAGTTCTTTTCTGTTTCAGTATAATTCTTTTGCCAAGTTTTATGATCAGGTAAAAAACAATTTCTGCATTTTTCCTAAATTTCCCTAATTCTTTCATTAGTCAGGTTTTCCCCTAAGACCTTCTTTCCAGTTTTAATGCCTGCCTGCTCTATCAGATCAGGAAGACTCTTATTATGATACAGCAATCCATATTTTCAGAAGCCGCTGGTGTGGAAGGAGAAGAAGATCATGAAGAACAAGTGCACTAGAATTGCTATAACTCGAATCACCTGTAACATTGCCAAATGTGTGTGCAGGCGCCATAGAAGCAGACCTCGGGGGACATAGGTGTTTTCTCCTTGGCTCTCAAGTAACACGCTCATTTAGCTGCCACTGGGTTGCCTGGCGGAAATAGCTTCTGCTTCTCAGGAACCGCACTTGAAGGGGGCTATGCTTTGCCATCTCCAGCATTTGATCACAATTAAAACAGAACCCAGGTCTTTATTTACTAAGGAATATTCTATTTACAAGTGATCTTTATGCCATTTCATTGAAGAAAGATCTTCTATGCTCAGTCAAGGGGGCTTCATTGTTAAGACGGAAACAGGGGATGAAACTTGCTACAAGCCCCAGGAGACCCAGTCCAATCACTGTGTAGGAGATTTTAAGCCAAAGATAAGAGCAAGAGACCAACTGCTTGGAGGGCATGAGTCAGGTATGAAAACTTTGAAGAGAAGCCCTACACAATGGGGAGGGCAGGACACGGACACCATCCTGGCTGAGCAGGACTCAGGAGGTGGTGTCTTCAGAGCCTCCGAGCTAGGTTTCATCCCTGCAGTGTCTTGTAGGTCACTCCAGTCCTGCATTCCCTTACTAACTGGGATAACTTAGCATCCTGGCATTCGGAGGCATAGAGGGAAGACTGGATAAGGAAGAGAAAGCCATGCCAGCTGCAAGAGAGATGCGACATTCTCTTGCTCAACACATAATGTAAGTATTAAGCCAGCAAAAAGGATGCTTGGTGCATGACTGCATTTGCTTATGGTGAACCTTATGGGTTGCTTTGTTGACTACAGAATCAGGAGCTTGAGTTCATGAACTTACAACTTCCCGTTTGCTGTTACAGATGTCTTTTGTTCTGTGTAGGTGTCTTTGATCTCTGTGTATACTGTAGTGTAGATTATGGCTTCACTGCTCTGATGCGTTTCTAATGTCTGTGCAGGTCTTTCCTAGTTTTAGAGCATTAAAAGATGTCTCTCAGTGAAATTGAAAAGACGAAGGATGTATACCTCTTTAGAGTGTATGATGGGGCATAAGCCACATCAACAAAACAACATATTTCTGTTTTCTGATTTGCAGAGAGAACTCTGCACGCATGAGGATGAGGAAAGAGGAGGGAATGGCCAAGCCTTTGGAGGCTGTGTCCTGATGCCCCAGAGACTGCCTCCCAGAGAAACTTGTTAAGTGAGGGGCGTGAAATGAAACACAGGATGCAGGAAACTGTGTTTCAGCAGAAGCCTGGCTTTACAAGGGTCTGAAGGCCAGGCCTGGAGAGAAGTAGAAGGTTGCAGGCAGAACCCAGGGGGAAATGGCTGATCAGGTTAAGTGCATGGTTCAAGGGCAGTAGCTATCCACATTACCGTTATCCGCTCCCTCCCCATGTGTGCGGTTGTGTAAGCACTGGCGTGCATTCACAGAGACCAGAGGAGGATGTCAGGGTCCCCACTGTCACTCTTCGGTTTACGTCTTATGACCGAGTCTTTCACTGAGTTTAGAGCTAGGGTGGCAATCAACAAGCTTCTGTCTCCACTCTGCTTCCCTACCACCACTGTTCTTTTCATGTGTCGTAGCTGAAAAAGAAGGTGATACTGACATTGGATTGGTAGAGGGCAGGGAGAGGGAACCCAGGATACAGCTGCATCAGGAGAGATATTGGAACAGGAACTTAGAGCTGGTTGCAACTGTGAAGCTGGACGTCCTCGGGAGCTCAGGCATTCTGTGGAAAGAGTTTGGCTTCACAGAGGATTCAGAGATAGCTTGAGCCCAAAGGATAGGGAAGTGTTATTTCTTGGGGCTATCCCAGTGATTAGCAAGAGGCGGCATGCCCACCTGCTCCATTTGGGGAAGATGTACCGGAAGAACCTCAAATAATATAGCTGGATTCATTCTGACCTTGTCTTTGATTCATCTTCCTTTGTCACCAAAAAAGTTCTCTCAAGCATGAGTAATTTCTCCTAGGAATAGCAATGGGATTACTTGTGCACATATTTATTTATGTCTATCAACTTCATGTCACCTGAGACTAGTCAGAATCATCCAGTAAAGATGAGCCTCAGAGGGATATGCAGAGCCCACTCCAGTACTAGAAAAAAATGAAACAAGAGCCATATGTAGTCCAGGAAGGGCGTTTGTTCATTCTGATTGGGGGAATGCAATAGACTACCCAATGATTGTACAGAGAGTCTCTCTGAAGTGTCTACATCTTCTACGAATCATTCCTTTTTCCTGTTAAGGAAGAAAATACGAACATTAAGATATGTCATAAATCACATAAAAAAATTCCACATATGTACAAACACATCATTGTCCCAGGTTCAATTCCCAGCATCAAACAAAAACAAACCAAGCCCAAAAAGTCATCTGTATCAGCTGGAAGAGGTATGTGGGGCACAGCCTTCTAATTCCAGCAAGGCCAGCCTGGGCTACATAGCAGGTCCAGGACAGTAAGAACAACACAGACAGAACTTGTTTAGGACTCCAGCACAGCAGGTGGGACACGCTGCTGTGATAGCCTCCTTTGCAACTCCTGTCATTAGGAGTACGTCTTGGGAAAGGTTGACCCACAATGAACCCAGGTTTGGCAGATGCTTGCATCCATTTCTCTTCCTGTAGAAACAATTTCCCTGAGTACAGGCCTCTTTTTTAATCATTCAAAGACTCAGATCTTTCCACAGCATATTTTCATCTTCATTAGTGTGTGAGGTAGGTTTTGGTGAGTATGTATTCCAGATTCTCGTGTCTGTGTCGCTTTAAGAAGGGGAAGATGCAGAAACATGTCCCCACACCTGAAGCCTATGCCTCTGCACAAGTCACTTCTCCTTGAATGTTCTTTTCCTCATAGTTTTCTGGGGACTTGGATTTTTACTATGCTTCCCATCTGTCTCTCAAACTCTCTTTCCAAAGAGCTTCATCAAGCAAAAACTGACCAACTTTTACTTTTGATGAAGCTGATTTTAGAATTTGGTCAAAACAAAGAAGGAGAAACTGGGATACAAACATTTAGAGAGTTCATGGTCGGGGTTCCCATAGCTGTTATATCTGTGGGTGACCACTTTCCCTACATGTTTATAAAAACAGGGAAGCTTGGGTCACTGTTAACCAGGTAAAGCAACTCCTTGGGAGTGGGCAGTTATGGATGATGCTTGGGAGAGGGGCTTTCTTGCTGCATCTGAGCTGAACAAAGGAGGATGGTGACATTTCTGTCCCGTTGTGGACTTCCTTCTGAGGCTTAACGTATGAAATGCGGGCTGTGGTGGGATGGCTGAGTGGTTAGAAGCTTAGCCTGATGGATAGCAAGTATAGCATCCTCTTCAGGAATGTAGAGGCTGTTGCTTCACCTAGGAAGGTGTTTATTGGTATTTGTCTGAAGTGTTGAGGGCCTCACACAGGCTAGTCTCCCACTGCCCTGGCCTACTGCACAGGTTTTCAGATTTAAGTCCCACACTGTGACTCTCCAGGCCCCATTTCTTGACATCTTTCTTTCAAGTCTGACATAATCTTCTCGAGAGCCATGAGTTCTTACCATATAACTTCTGAATGCCTTCAATGTCATCTTCGGTAAGCCCGAAGTCTTTTGGGTGGCCGTTTTCATAGGTAGGGTACATCACAGACTCAGGAACAGAAGAGTGACTCAGACCCAGAGAATGGCCGAATTCGTGGGTGGCAGCATACAGGAAGTTCACTCCTACAGCCAGAGAAGTATACATAGTAAATATTAAAGTAACCGTATAAAGGCCTGCAATTGTCACATCAAATGGAAGCAGGAGCCACCCCACCCCAGCATTCCTTAGCTACTGGCTTCTACTCTGGCACTGCTGACTTCCTGTTGCTGGGGTAAAACACCGTGCCCGAGAGCAACTTAAGGAAGAAAGAGTTTGTTTTGGCTTCTGGTTCAGAAGGATAGAATCCACAATGCCAGGGATAGAAACCGCAGGGGACAGAAAAAGGAATCTGCAGGTCAGATTTCATCTACACATAGGAAGGACACACATGCACAAACACACACACACACACACACACACACAGGAAAAGAGAGGGAGAAAGGGTCAGAGCCGGAAGGAGAGAGAGACAGAGAGAGCAAGCACGAGGTGAGGGCGCTCCATCAAAGCCCGCCTTCAGTGGCACGCTTCCCCCAGCAAGGCTCCATCCAGCTCCTAGAATGTTCCTGAACAGCACCACCTACTGGGCACCAAGTGTTCAAATACTGGAGCTCTCAGGGACACTTCATGTTCACATCAGAACAATAGTGAGAGCCTGAAGGAGTCCTTTAGTGGAGTGACCTAAGGTTAGGAACACCTACCCTAAACCAGCCTCCCAGACTAGGAGCCGAAGGGAGAGCAGAAGAAAGGCTACGGCAATTTATTAAGGAAACCAGAATTCAAGGGAAGAGTAATATGCTTTGCCAGAAGGTGAGAAGGGGGAGCTGGGAAAAGGTCAGAGGTCCAGTCCCTTCAAATCTTTGTGTGTTGAGGCTTTTCTGGAGAAGGCATAACAAATGTATTCTTGGGAGCCTCAGGTGTGGACACTGTGTTCACTACCTCAGGTTATCAAGGATGAATTAATTAGGCCACTGCATATCATTACTGTTGGTTTTAATTTTGTCGTCAGTTAGAAGCTGTTCTGTGTGGTCCCAATGCTGAGAGAGCTAACTTCATTGTTGTCGTGAGCTTGCCCTTTAGCTCTTGATAGCTTTGGGCCAGGAGTGTGCACTTAACTGCTCTGGCTGTCCTCAGTTTACCCTTTAGGTTTACGACCAGTTTAGTACCCAAGACCTCTTCTGGTTAAGTTTTTTTTTTATTATCTTATCGTATTTCTTTATTTTTATTTAATGTGTGTGTGTGTGTGTGTGTGTGTGTGTGCGTGTGTGTGTGTGTGTGTGTGTGTGTGTACACGTATGGAGGCCAGAGGACAATTTGTGAGAGTCAGTTCTCTCCTACTATGGGCTTCTACATACATCACACACAAATTAAAAAAGAAGATATTAAATGAGATAAAACATTTAAAGCATGTACTACAGGAGTTGGCACTTAAGGTGCCTCTAATTGTTATAATTAAAGCAATGATAAAGATAAAATTGGGTGTAGGTCTGGGCTTTCTAGATATGCAGCAGAAGAGACATAGGCCACTCTACCTGCACCATCACCATCACCGTCAGTCCATTGTTCATCCCCGTCAAAATGGGCATCTCCTCCCAGGCCTGGCCCAGGCGCAAAGGCATGACCTAGAGTGTTTCCGGGCCCATCAAATGGGAAGCTGTCTCCGTGATCTGCAAGACAATGCCATGATTTCTGTTAACAGCTTGGGTTTTCTCCGGTCGTCTCATCTCTTCAGATCATATGGTTATGAAGGCTGGAGAGAGAAGCCAGTCCAGTTAGTTAACCTCCTGGCACCAAGAGCCAATTTCACACACACAGGATGAGCTGTGACTCTGGTCCAGGTTCTGTCATAAGATCCACTGATCAGTACTGGTGACCACCGTCTGTGGAAAGCTCACTGAGTCAAGATCTTAAAACAGTGTGTGTGTGTGTGTGTGCGTGTGTGCGTGTGCGATGCTGAGAACTGAAACCAAGGCCTCTCATATGTTAAACATGTTTCACCAATGACAGCCCTCTATAGTACTCTTGGAAGGGTTTAAATCTTGAAAAGAGAACACTGATGTTTATAAATAGCAAAAGGTAAAAGAGCACACAGATTTAGCCTGCAGAGCCATCCTTACCTCCCGTTGCGAAGCCAATCATGATGTCCGCAGTCCCCCACCTCACCCTCCTGAAATTCAGTGGGATCTGCTCACTCCACATTCTGAGAGCCTTTGCCACGATTTGATCCACCGTGAGACGTGGTAAGTCTGAAGGGTAGGACATGATTCTGGCAGCACACAAGAAGATAGAGTTTGAGTTCTCAGGAAAAAGGTTTTGTTGCCTCCATCAGAATGAGCCAAAGCGAGCCTCACCTGAAGGTGACTTTTCTGGATTGCCATTTTGGACTGCCTGGCATTAGTGAGAATTTCGCAACATCTGGCACACCACATCTGGGTTTCTGCATTATTTCCACGGTACGGGGGGACAGCTTTCCAGTCATGGGCAGGCCAAAGAATTTCTGCATTTCCTTGAGTTTGATCACTAGGCTGTTGCCGTTGCCTTCCTTTCTTTTAGAGTCGTGAAGGTAGAATTTCCTAAGATAATTCTGGTAGATAGAAAATATGCATCTCTTTTACCTGCTGTTATTGCAGATTTGAATAGTTCTTTGAAGACAGAGTCGTTATAGAGTTATGGAATAAAGTGAGTGTTTCCCGGTGAGGGAAATGGACTATCAACAAGAAAGCGCGGCCTGCTGTTGCGTAAGATGAAGAGAGGAATCCTTAGGGTCAGTGTATTCTCAATACACACCACCCACTTTCTATAGCTTGAACTAACTTTTAGGGGAGCAGGAAGTATCAGTTTCGGGGAACACACCAAAGGCTGGAAAAAGGCTCAGTTAGAGAAGAGCTTGCCTCAAAAACTTGAGGGCCTGAGTTTGATCCCTAAGCCTTGTGAAAAACTGAGTGTTTCTTTAACTCCAGCGCCAGGGAGGAAGAGGTAGGAAGACCGCTAAAGACTCCCACTATCAATCTCTAGCCTATACACACACACACACACACACACACACACACACACACACACACTTGTATTCTCTCTCTCACACACATGCCTGCATACATACACACATATAATACACACAAATATATACACATATATACATACACACACATACACACATGCATACAGAGAGAGAGAGAGAGAGAGAGAGAGAGAGAGAGAGAGAGAGCGCACTGGAGCACAAAGTAAGACTATTAGGTATCGTAGACCATATGGGGAGATCTAAGTTTCCTTAGCCTGGTAAGGGCTCCTGCCATTTGGCTATATTTACATTTCAGTAGGGAAGAAGAAATCACGTGATTGTTAGTTTAACTAGTCTGAGTTAGTCGTTTGGGAAGAAAGCACAGTTAACAGCATTCAAGTCTTTGTTCAGGTCCACAAGCTGAGTCCGTGGCTGATCTGTTTGAAATCTCCTTATCCGCAGTCCCCCTTTCCCTTTCCTCTTCCTCCCTTGGGACTCTTTTGCTGTTAGCACACCCACGAGGTCAGCACACCCACTGGGAGGTGGTGGGTTAAACCAGACCACCTCCTATACCTTCCCGTGCATAACTGAACGTCTGAAAGTCTCTGGGTGTCCTGCGATGCAGTGGGAGACCTTCAGCCGAACATGAAGAGGCGAGAGCTGACAGCCGCTCACAAAGGCACTGAAGACCCTTCCTAGGGGCCGGTGCACATTTGCTCCACATTTATTTCAACAAGGCTTTATAACCACCCTGTAAAGCAGAGATCAAACTTTCACCTCTGATTTATATAAAGACACATGCTTAGAGAGGCGAAGCAGCTGGCAGTAACCATCCAGGTGTTTGCCATCCACTTCCAGAGAAACTTCCTTAGGAAAAGCTACAGGCTCAGGGAGGGTGCAGCGAGAGGCAGGAGGCTCAGGGAGGGTGCAGCGGGAGGCAGGAGGCTCAGGGAGGGGGCAGCGGGAGGCAGGAGGCTCAGGGAGGGGGCAGCGGGAGGCAGGAGGCTCAGGGAGGGGGCAGCGGCTGACTTGCTGTTAGTATTAGAGCAACTGGCAGTAGACATCCGTTTAGAAACCTCCCACAACTGTGCATTTTACTGAAGTAAACTGGTCAACATTGTGCCCTCCTACCTGCTGCCAGTGATAGTGTCTCATTCAATACAACAACTTCTTATTGTGCACTTACAATGAGCATGAACAAATTCTTTAAGACATAACAGATACGAGTCCCTTCCGGAGCTGTGGACTTCATGACAACACTCTCTGGAGGACATGTCTGCATTCTTTTTTCTACTTTGATTATTGATTTGAGATAGAATATTGTTCTGTAGTACAGGCTATCATCGAACTCACTGTGTAGCTCAGGCTGGCTCAAATACATAATGATCTCCCTTCTATTGACAATCTGTGTGCTAAGCAACGGGCCTGGAAAAAACTGGATCAAAACCCCTAAAATGCTATTTGGTAATGTGAGGGCCAGCCATAATAAACTAAGTCTGGGCAGAAAAATGTTCTTTACTTCCTCCAACCTTTATCACCTGGGAGTCTGGCCAGCGATAAATTTAAATGAAGTCTGGAGTCTCAATAGTTTACCCTGAGACTATGCCTGGCTGCGGGAGGAACCACAGGCTGAGATTATCCGACCCCCACCTAAGAGCAGACCATTCAAAAAAAATCCTGGCATTCCAAGCATTGTAAATAGAAACACCTGCCAACACTTCACCAGGACACCCCTAGACAAATGTCAGCCAATCAGGGGTCCGGAACCTCAGAGACCCCTCACCCCCACCTTTACTACTATAAAAACCCCATTCTAATTGAGCTCGAGACTCTCTGGATATTCCAATAAGTTGGACTTGCGGAGATACCGAGTTTGCAAACTTGATTAAAATAAAAAGGCTCTTTGCTTTTACATATGGGTCTCGGTCTCCTTTGTTGACTTTTGTGGGGACCCACAGATTTGGGCATAACCCCAAGGGAAAAGCCAGTTAGATATTGGTGATTTTACGTGGTTGAGTCTAGTATATCAATTAGGTCTTTAAAAAGTCAAACTGAATGTGAAATATAGTTCTATTTTCTTACACTTAAAGCTTACCAATCATTATCTGATTTTACCAAATGACATTTTATTCTTACTAATTACTGTACTGATCAGCAATATATTTGAAGAAACACAGTTTCTGAGCTATCAAAGCTTATCCCGATGCCTGTCACAATTGGCAGAAGAATATGAATCAGGTGACTTTGAGTTCTCAGTATAGTGCTGGTGATCAAACAATATGCTGGATCCAGAGTCACTACACACATGTGAGTTCCTATGGTCATGTTATTTGTCTGGTAGACTAATCCTGTGGGCAGAACACAGATGGTGTTATAACGTCCATTGCACATGCAAGAAAGTCATGCCTTCTACTGGTGCTTTCTGACTGTCGGTCTCCTCACTGTGAGGCCAGTACAGTTTATGAAAATAATTTCAAGTCGCAATAAATAATAATACAACACTTCCATTTCTTGAGCATAAATCATATTTCAAGTACTGTGTTAAGAAGCTTATCTAGCTCCACTTGCTGACAGCATTGTTATACTTCTCCAGTTTCGGAATTGGAAAATTTAAGGTCAGAAATGAAATGACATTCTTGAGTCCACCTAGAATGCAGATGAAGGAGCTGGCCCTCAATCAGAGTTCAAGAAGACCCTGGAAGCCAGATTGCTTGGCTCCTCACAGAAAGCGTACTCTGTTTTCTAGCCAGGAACGTTACCCAGGACTATCCACGGTCACACTAACACCAACCAGGAGCGTTACACAGTACACAGGAATATCCACGGTCACACTAACACCAACCAGGAGCGTTACACAGTACACAGGAATATCCACGGTCACACTAACACCAACCAGGAACGTTACACAGTACACAGGACTATCCACGGTCACACTAACACCAACCAGGAGTGTTACACAGTACACAGAAATATCCACGGTCACACTAACACCAACCAGGAGCGTTACACAGTACACAGGACTATCCACGGACACACTAACACCAAAGGACAGATCAATCAGAAACACACTTGCATGCTTGCGGCGAGGCCAGAGAACCCCAGGAGAGAGGACAGATACCTGGGCCTGTTCCCACTGCAGTGAGCTCACATCTCCAGCCTCTCGGGACAGTGGCAGGGCCAGGTGGCCTGGCAGCAGACACACAGTCCAGAACAGGGTGAGCTGCGGAACTGCCATCAAAAGGCAATTGTTCTCCGATCTACCAGTGGCTTTGATGTTTTCTGACAGGGGCCGGAGAAATTTATATGACTTCTTAACCCTGAATGTTTAAATAGGTGACTCATTTGCATTCTTTCTTTCTTTTTAGAATGAATGTGTTATTTTCCACTAGCAACAATGGTGAAGTATTACGTCCTTATATTGGCAAGAGGAACACATGGCATTTATCTTTTAGAGGACCTCCCAGCCCTGCTGCCATGTACTGAATCCCCTCAAACCGTGTTTTATTTGTTGTAATCAAATGACTACTTTCCCAAGTCTTCTCATCGACAAAGTAGTTCTGGGTTCATCATTATATTCTGCATCTTACAAGGATTCTTCTAAAAGTTTGTAATGTGTGGAGCAGCATGTAAATTACAACTTTACTGAACACGTACTGTGATAAAAATCAATGTCAAGAAAGAATACCACACCAAGGACCTTGAAACATGCCTGTCTAGAATTTAGGAGGCTGCTTCAACAGGAGGATTGCAGGTTTGAGGCCACACAGTGGTTATATAGTGAGACCATTGTCTACATAGAGAGACAATGATTAAACTAAGAAAGAAAGAAGAAAACCAGAAGGAAGAAAGGGAGAGAGGACAGAAGGAAGGAAGGGATGGAAGGGAGAATGGAAGGAAGGAGGAAGGAAGGAAAGAGGGAAATCAGGGAGGATGGAAGGGGAAGTGGGCTTTGCTGGTATTCCAAAATTCTTTGTGAGGGAGGGAGGCAGGTTCTGTGTCAGTGGCTGCCGTGGAGCTAGCCTTTAGCCTTTCCTCTAACAGCCAGGCATCTCAGTCACTCCGTGAGATGACCCTGTAAGTGCTCCTTTAATTCTTAATGCTATTTCTAATTTCCCTCATCCGAGCATCCCCACCAAATCTCCAGGGAGAGCCGTGTATAACTTCTGTCTGTATAATACATGAGTATTTAGAGGTGTGACCTGTATCAGGTAACCATAATGCTATGAGATGGTCATTGATCCTTGTTTTTGAGTAAAATCATGGATCTTTTCTTATCTCAAAGAATAAGACAACTACAGGGTGGGAGAAAATACTGCACAAAAGGAAATCTAACCAAAGGGTACTATCTAAATTATATAAAGAACTCTTAAAGCCTAACAGAGAGAATACAACTGATTTTTAAAAATGTACCAAGGACCCAAACAGATAATTCACCAAAAGAGACACACAGATGCTAAGTAAATATGAAAAGGTGCTCCCCATTGCAGCTACCAGGGAAATGTGAGTTAAAATAACAACAAGCCAATTAAAACCCATTCAAATGATTGAAGTCCAGAACATGGGCAACACTAAGGCAAGACATGCTGGGAATACAAAGCATCCAGCCACTTAGGAATACAGTTTGGCATGTCCAAAACTAAACCACCTCGGACCAAATGATCCAGCAAGTGTACTCTTTCCTAATCAAAGAGGAAATGAAAAGCTATGCCCTTATAAAACTGCAAATACACACTTACAGCACTTTTATCCATACTTGGGAACACTCAAGATGTCTTTTTTCAGTGGCGGAATGGCTGTATAGACTGTGGTAAGCCACACAAAGGAATATTATTCAACATCAAAAACAAAAGATCTAACAACGATGAAAAGACATGAGAGAGCCTTAAATGAGTGCTACTAAGTGAAGGAAGCCAACAAAGGGTTGTGATTCCAGCAGATGCCGTTCAATAAAGGAGGCAGCAGGCAGGTCAGTGCTTACAGGGATGGGGTGGGGAGGGTGACTGACTGAGGGGTGAAAGATTAAGCTCAGAGGGTGTTTTTTTTTATTGATTTTTATTGAGCTCTACATTTTTTTCTGCTCCCCTCCCTGCCTCTCCCCTCCACTTTAACCCTCTCCCAAGGTCCCCACGCCCCTAATTTACTCAGGAGATCTTGTCGTTTTCTACTTCTCATACAGATTAGATCCACGTGCGTCTCTTAGTGTCTTCATTGTTGTCTAGGTTTCCTGGGATTGTGATTTGCTGCTGAAAAATTTCATGCCAAATTTAGTGATATTTCTCCAGAGAAGCACATTTCTCTAACAAATGTGCTTCTCGGTCTCCTGAACACAGATTACATGGAGCTGCTTAGCAAGATTGCCAAGGAGCAAGGCTTTAACAGAATATATTGGGAGACAGAGGAACTGAGTGCCAATGGACAGAGTCAGTCCCGCAGAACTGTCCACTAGTCCGAATTCCATGTCATGGCTCAGGTGTCTCCTGTGCCTATGCACAGAGTGACTGCCCACAGTGCTCTGCGGTACTAAAGCTAATACCAGAAAGAAAGCAGGCTTGCCACAGTTTAGGGACCCCTGGAGTGCAGAGAATTCCACTTGCACCTCTTCCAGAGTAGACATTTACTGTGATGTGTGTCTGTGTGTTCACATCTCACTTTTCCGACTGAGTGGCCTTCCGGTCTCCAGGCAGTAGTTATTAAGTTCTTTTTAATGTCTTCAACGTTGCGTTGGCAAGTTATATTTGTAAACTCTGTAGCTCCCACTTTCTAGGATGGGCACATAGTGAGAAGAACCTGCTTATTTGACTCCCACAATGAAAACATCAAACCACTGCTGGTAACGTCGCCAAGTGCTTAGAACACTGAGCAGGGCTCTCTGAAGTGGGACCTAGGGAGACCCATTAGAACTGCGGTGGGATTTGCACTGAATGCCACTGCCAAACTTCTGGGAGCATGGCTATTCTGCCATGTGTTCAAACCACGGAATAAGCAACTGTTGTTTAAAAAGAAAGAAAGAATAAGTAAATAAATAAACCAGAATTCAGAGCAAAGAAAACAGAGCAACAACCTGGGAGCTGGTCAGTGCAGGACTGAAGATGAAAGGATCGGAGGAGGTCTGAGCTTAGTGAAGGGTGCCACTGTTAAGACAAAGGATGGCCATTGCCAGGGAAAGAGAGAATCCGCTATGGCTAAGCCATTGAGATCAATATTGGATATTGAACTTGAGGGTTCAGCTGGGAAAACATGTCTAGAACTCACGAGAGTGACGCAGTGTGCAGTCACGACCTGTAAGTGACTCACCGTTAAAGGAGGAAACTAGATGCCTGCATGCATGTGTGTGTGCGTGTATGTGTGCGTGAGTGTGTGCATGTGTGCATGCATGGGTGCGTGTGTGTGTGTGTGTTGGGGTATGTAGAATAGATATAATGCAGATTTTGCCACTTCAACCATAATTTTTTAAAGTTTTATATGTATTTTATATGTATGAATGGTTTGCCTGCTTGTGTGTCTGAACACTGTGTATAAGGCCAGAAATAGGTGCTGGATCTCCTGGAACTGGATTTATAGATGGTCGTGAGTCACTGTGTGGGAGCCGTGACCTGAACCTTGATCCACTGCAAGAGCAGCCAGTGCTCTTAAACACTGAGCCATCTCTCTAGCTCAATTTTCACCTTTAAAAAATGATATTACTTTTTTTTATGTGGTGGTTGCTTATACCTTGTAGGAAGGCCCTGGGGACTGAATTCAGGTGTTGACAGTAAACATCCTTACCCACTGAGCCATCTTGCCTGTCCTGTTTTACCATTGATGTCCAGCTCAATGACACTAACACGTTACCATATTCTCCAGCTGTCAGGGGATTTGCTTCTAGAACTTTTCATCACCTCAGATTGCTGTCTTCTCTCCTATTCTCTTAGTAATCTCCATTCTGCTTCCTGTCCCTATGATTCCGACTGTTCCAGGAGCTCCATCTAAGTCCCGCCATTATAACAACCACCCTTCGGTGTGTTTGCTTATGTCTCTTCCCTGACACTTTCAATATTTACTGATTTACTGTTGTAGCATGTATTAGCCCACCACTCTCTTGTCAATAGATAAATAATACTCTAGCATTTGGATATAACAAATTTTGTTTATTCATTAATTCCCAAGCAGACATTTGGACAACTTGTGCAATGATCACTGGTGTATCCTAACCAAGCACCAGGCCAAGCTCTGAGAATGCAGTCAAAGAGAAGGAGGAGGGAACACACTGGCAAGGGAGATCATGAAGGAGAAATCTACAGAGACAGCTGAACCAAGCTTGTGGGAACTCACGAGCTCTGGATGGATGGTTGAGGAGCCTCCATGGGTCTGAATTAGTCTCTCTATATGCGGCAGTCAGTTGAAAAGCTTGGGCTATCTGAGGGGGCCCTTGCAGTAGGACCAGGATCGATCCCTGGTGCAGGAGCTAACTGGTTAGAGCCTATTCCCTATGAGGGGATGCCATACTCAGACTTCATGCAGAGGGAAGTGGCTTGGTCCTGCCCCGAATAATGTGCCAAACTGTCAACTTATTTGGCACAAGGGTGTCAACTCTCCATAGGAGCCTTACCTTACATGGGAAGAGTGGATGGGGAAATAGAGGGGAGTGGGGGGAGGGGGAGGAAGAACCTTGGTTGGAATGTAAAATGAATTAAAAAATGAAAACCTCTGGTTCCAATTACTTTGTGTATGCAGTCAACAATGACTTTTATGGGTCTTAACAGTAAGTTTACATTCGATTCATTTTTGAGGAACTGCCAAACTCTTATTTACAAAACAGTTACTATTTTCTGTTCTCTTCCCCTAGACAGGGTGTCTTACAAAACCTGGAATTTACAGGCTAGGCTAGGCTGACTGGTGTTAATCCCACTGGTAGAAAATAAGACCACTACCACAGCTTAAAGCCAAATTTAAAGCAAGCTGTAATTAAATACTGGGCAGGTGGGTGGGCTCTGGCCAGGTCCATACCTGGGTTCCCAGGAAATGGCCCACAGTTTACAGGGGCTTAAAAAGGCAAAATCCACAATTCACCGTATTTCCCATCAGGTCCAATCAGGGGCAAGCGTGCATCCTGACATATTTCCTGCCTATGAACCTTGTGGCCACCTGTGATCAAGCAGACAGAGCAAACAAACTTGTTTAGGGCAGGGAAAACATGTGGTTTGTCATCTCCTAACAACAGCCTTCTTCATTCCAGGAACTGTTTGTCCATGGGCAAGGGGCTCCC